TGGATTTTCGGGATCAGCGTAGTAAAAAACCCTAGGTAAGCGCAAATTTGACTAGGTTGAGATTTGCCGTGCCACTGCCTTTAACCACTACACCACAGCCTACCGGAGGTATTTGGTACTCCGATCGTATTTCCCTCTGGCGGCCAAACTTAGCTCGAAAATCCTCCATAACTCCTTTCAGAAAAACGATCAGCAGAAACGGAAATCAGATTTGGAATCAGCGTTTCGAGGCGAGTATAACGGTATACATCTCATCTCAAAAGGCCACGGACACTAAGTATCGTTCCCTTGTGACACTTGCACCGGCCGGCACCGTCCGACGACGGCCTTTCGGCCGGCGACCGCTCCATAAATCTGGACGGAGCTAAATGCCGGCCGGTGACCGCTCCAAAAAGCGACCAGGAGCCGCTCCATAGGACTGGCTAATACACTGGCAACATGCACCAACATGTTTGCAAATGCAACAACACGTGCTGCACACTGTGACTTGTTGCATGTTGCCAACATGTTAACCACCACGGTCTCAGGTCAGACGCTCATTTTGCATTCTTATTTGATTTTTGGCTTCTCTCGCTGATTGACGTCGTTAATCTTCGTAGCCCTTGGTCTTACTTCACGCGATTTTAGTTGGGGTCACGATGTGAATATACTCCAACTGTTCATAACATTATGCGCGCACTTTGAATGTGCAGAAAAAAAGTATTTTATCGATATACGGAAGTTCTACGGATTTCGCATTGGTCTGCCATTAATGAAGGCAGCTAGGAAGTTGTCATATCGACGGTCAAATCTGAAATCATATGCCATGCTTTGTCTTTTTTATGTTACTCTCCATTCCATTACCGGTTCTCATCGCATCGCAGGGTATCCTTAGCGATTCTCTTTGCTTCTCCTATGACATTTCATCTCATAGTCAAGTTTCTTCCTCATTCTGTTCCTTATTTGTTTTTCAGGCCAGATATTATTTTGCTTTTATTTTGCCAGATATAGCCAGTGCAAGGCCTCATAAAGCTCTTTGTATTCATTTCGAGAATACAATAAACTTTGGTGTGAATGCTTTGTATGCAGGACCTGTACTGTCACGGACGGACAAATTGTGTAAAGTGTGAAAGCTACAAAGCAGGTAACGTGCGTTTGGTATAATTAGAACCGAATATTCAAGTTCGAATAATTTATTCGAAAAATTCGACTATTCGAATATTCGAATAGTCAAATATTTGAAAAAAAAAACGCATTTATTCAACTGTTCTAATAGTCGAATGTATAAGAGACAATTATTCGAATATTCGTTCATTCGCCCATTTGGAAAAACGGCGTATTCGAGTATTCGAACATTTGATCCGTTGGAAAAAACCAGTATTCGAATATTCGAGTATTCGACTCAATAAAAAAAGAACTTATTCGAATGTTCGATTATTCGCAAGCGATTTGTTCGAATGTTCGAATATTCGAACCGACATCTAATTTCTACAGAACTTTCTACCGGCCGCCTTCTCTTGTCGGCTTCCGAACCACCCCTTCATCCTTCGGGGCCTCTAATATGGGCGAAATTGTAACAACGCGCAACAGCTCTCAAAAAGAACGTGGTTCGTTGCGGGACCTCGCCCAAGCAAGAATCGATTGCTTGGCGTTTCCTTTGCACTAGTGCGTTCTCCCTAAGTTCCACTGGATTGTTTCTTTTTACTTTGCTCTTTTGCTCTCTGTCAGAGTTTTATACTTCATTCTTTGCAGGCTAGACTTGCGCATCTGCGGTTCTAGTCTGACATCTGTCGATTTGCGGTAAATTGTGAGTTTAGGTTTGATGGCTATGAAACTGCATTGTGCTAACATGCTCCTCATGTATTTCCAGGTTTGGCGTCAATCAACAAAACCAAGGAGCTTAGGCTGGAAACGCGCGAGCGTAAGTTTTCAAATTGCTTGATTTTTGTAAGTAGCTCAGTCATAATATATCTCCGTTACATGCCTTGTACGACTGCCTATTTATAGGCTGCTGCATGACGAAGGCGCAATATCTTCGGGCGCAGCGCGGATTTCTTAGCTGCAGAGCGCTTTGAGACGCAGTATTTACAACGGTAAAACTACGCGCGCGCCGCGTTCGCGCCTGCTCAACTAATACCGCTTCTGCGCCTTCGTCATGCAGCTTCCCACTCAAAATGAGACCGGCTCTAACTGCGTCTCAATCGTCACCTTTCATTTTGTGACAATTGCAGGTTTAGCACGGCTGAGGCGCAGTCTATTGTGCCGATTTCATAGGATGTTGTAGAGTTCTCTGCCCGATGATAAGCTTAGAGCTGCTACGAGATTGGCTGATGAGCTTCGCTTGCCGGCGCACAACTGCCATCTTTCCGAAGTTTTCGTGGCAAACATTTTTTGCACTCTAATGCAATCGCAATCACAATTGGTGCAATCGCACGCAATTTTTGGAACCAAATATATACAGCCGATGTCAAGTGCTCCCTTTTCTTTAGCAGTCACGCCTCCTCTCCGCGTAAGTCTAGCACGGCGACCTCGATCGATGAGGCGAGTCTTGAATGCGCAAGCTACACGCGCGCAAACGCGACGCGAGGCTCCGCTTTGCGATTTGGCTAATGAAAAAGGGAGCACAAGGTTGACACGGACTATAGACATCCACTGTGAATAAAAACATCATACGTCCAATTGTGCTTCATCGCTGAATTCTTCAATGCCTTTTCCTGGCGGGAAGTTGCTTGCTGCTGATAGGCACAGCACGGATACAGTACTATGAAAGAGTCTCATATGCACATATAGCTGACATTCGGTAAGATATTGTATCGCGATTTTGTATCGGCTGCCGCATCGCGAATGCGTAGTTGAACTAAGTACCGCGAATGCGTAGTTGGGGAGGGAAGAGGTGGGAGGGCTGTGCACGTTTGTGCGTAGCAATGAACACAGGCGTCGACTGAAATCGAGCAAAAATATTCGCTGTTTTCTTTAAAACTTTATGAATTGCTGTAATAACAACAAAAATACGTTGACATATTCTGCATCGTTATAAGGCTGCCTCAGCTCTCCTCCCCCTTCCCCTCTCCCATAGCAGCCTGCCCAAATTAGATCATTATCTTATTAGTATGGTTGGACAAAACTACTAGCACGCGCCAATGTTTTTGCGTAATACTAGCGGTTGATTGTGCTCTAGTTTCGCTCGCATGGACTCGGTATAATACGTACATCACCGAAGAACTTCATAAGGCAGAAAACTTTATGAACCTTTACAGTTCACAGTCATGGTAAAATTGAAAGAGAAAGTTACACAAAAATTTGCGCCACTTGTTGCCAACCTAATGATTTAAAAGTACGACTGCATCAAATTTTTTGAGGAAACATTTGTAGTGGAACAAACAGCTAACAGTTCAATTCATATGATAAGCTTAAGCATTATGAAAACGTAGCTGCCCAACTGTTCCCTTGCTGCAACAGATGTTTGGGCATTAGCAGATATCACGTAATTGTATCTACGAGTGTTTTCTGCAGGTTGCCATCTACGCCCTGACAGTGCTAACCGCGAACGAACACAATCAGAGCAAAGCAAACAAAGCCACAGTTTAAATCTTACAAATTCATAGAAAAAGGTAAACACCGGAAAGTTTTCTTCCAGAACCCTCAGGAAACAAGCTTCATAAGTCAATCTATTTCAGCTTGGTTCAGCATGAACGTGGTCTGGAAGCTTTTCACCAAAACGTCTGATGAGAAAGGGAACAGCATTGCCACATGCAATATTTGTAAGAAAAAAATGAAAATCCCACTGTCGAAGACTACCACGAACCTGCTCATCCATCTCAATGAGAATCATAAACAAGAAGTTTAACGAGTCAAGGAGGAGCAGCTGACTATGCCTACAACTCAAAAGTCGCAGCCTTCTATAATAACGGCATTTTCACCAAAAATGACAAGTGAAGCCCGGGATTGCAAACACATGACTCGCTATGCTCATCGCCGGCAAATCACTCTCCTTCAGCTTAGCTTCATCAAGAAGTTTTCGCCACTTTGTCTAATCGCTAAATCCAGGCTACATCCCCCCATCAAGGAAAACATTGCAGCTTTATGGAGAGCGAGCTTGCTCGAATGGAAAGGGCAATAAGCAGCTGATACTGAGCGCGGGTGGATTAGCCATAGCAGCGGACTGCTGAGTTCTTTCAACGCAAACACCGGACTCCTAACGATCACAGGCCACATTGTTGGGGCCACGACGAGCAGTCGTCATAACGTTATTCTTGATTGTGTCGCTCTCGGATATGAAAGGTATAACTTCGCGCCACCTTCACGGGAAATCCGTCATGCGCACGCTATTTCAGTCATAGTGCCGACCTCATTGCACATCACATGAGATGTAGTCTTAGCAAACTGAATATTGATGAGTCTTACTCTGCGCTATGGTGGCTGATGGTGCATACAATATAAAAAGAGCGGCTGCTAATCTTAACGTCAAATATTAAGTGAGCAGTCGCGCACAAGTTTAAGAAGTATGACCGTATAATTTAGTCTGCAATGTGGCACACACCTGATAAACCTAGCTGTGCGGAAGACAATCACCTGCGAGCATATATCCCCTTTGGTGCAGAAGTGTAAACTATTGTTGCGAAGCTGAATCACAGTAGTGTTCTGCGAGGACTTTTCAAGAGGGTCTCATTTGTACATTACTTGGACGGAGTACAACAAATGTTTTCTTAGCTATCTCGAAGAGTCAATTCTTCTAGAATTTCTCCTACGAGCGACTGCCCCACACGTTGAGGGTCAACCTACACCATAATATGCGATGACCTTACCACGGTAATATATGCTAGTCCTTGCATATCTAACAATCTCACAATTTTTTAGAGGGGAGCCTGGATAAGTCGCTGGAAAATCAATGTATGGATTCTTTTGATGATGAAGAATTCAAAACTCTAAAAACAGTGAGAACTTTCCTTGAATTCTATTACGAACTCACACTTAGCACAAATACTATTCCGTTGTCTGACATAAGCAAGATAGTCTCCTAGATGTGCGCAGCTCAAGCTACCTGTTCGCTGCTGCTTGCTGGAGGGAAACTTCTGTTGGCTAAAACGGAAAGGTGGTTATAAAATTGCTTTGATCGAATGAGCAGATGATGTTGTATTTGTAGCACTTGTAACGACCCTCGCACCAAATCGAAACAGTTCGGAAGCATATTGCTTATGAAAACAGACGTCAATTCCCCTTCTTTCGCAGATGAAACGTCACGCATTGCTGCGCTTCTTGACCCGCGCTTCGCTTTTCTTGAAAGGATAGCATTTGCAGATGAGTGGAAAACAATTGTCGAGAAGCTCATCGAGTCTAAGAGTAGGCATATTTGTTTAATTGCTTACAAAACCTAATACTCTTATTTTAGTAGGCCAGCCTTCAAGTAACCAGGATTCCTTTGATATACCCACTTCCACAGCTAGGGACAAGGTTTCGTCTTTCTGGGATCCCATAGCAGACTGTGAGCATGACTCCATCGCTAAAAGGTGTCTCTCATCTGATCAGGGAGAGGAAATGATATTTGGCTGGAGTAATATTTTTATATTTCTCTACGGTAATATTTTCTAGATCGAAGTGCAGCAGTACTCCCTTCTACTAAAATAGAGCCGACCGGAAAAAGATCTTTCTCCTTTTACATGGTGGAAAGATCACGCTAACGAATTTCCAATCCTTTCGAAAGAAGTGCCACGCTACCTCACTATACCCGCAACGTGGTAGATTGTGACAGATTATTTAGGCACGTTTGCACTCTTCAACGCAGGTTTACTATTTCCTTATTTAGCCTTGCCGGAAACATCGATGGTAACAAAAGGAGGGGACATTTGGGTTAGAGTGCAAGGTTGCTTCTTATGTGCAAAGTTAATGTCAACAAAGAGATAGGAAGGTAAGACTAGGTATGAGTAAATTTTCACAATTGTTCAAAAGTAGACGTTTAGAGAGTGTAAATGCTGGAGCGCTGCAGAATTCAGGCTCTACAAGAGGAACGCTGATGACAGTGATGATGACGATGAAGGTTCCTCGTCCGTCGAGTCTCCCGTTGAGGACACAACAGCAGCATTTGAAGACATTGAGGATTTGGAGGACATAGAGAAAACCCTCTGAGAGCTAAGCGTCGGTGTAATTTTTGCGTACTGTATCCTGCATCAAGTAACTTTAATGGTCGCTTTACACTTCATCAAAATATTGTTTACTGTTTCTAATACAGGGTGTCCCAAAAAAATGTTAACACTGTTTGATCTTTGATAACTCCCTCGATTTCATGTCTTTCGGCGAGCTTGAGGCACCATTTTATAGAGCGAGGTTCAACTTAGATTCACAGTATGGAACGAATCACCGTTCGCTCTTCATTACTGTAGGATTACGGTAAGGAGTTCCAGCATGTGGAACCGTCGTGAAGTATGCCCTCTGACAAACTTTTTTCCCAAAAAATCTGAAAAATCGTGTACTAGGGTTTTCGCGCACGCTGATTTTACTACACAACTTTTTACCAGTGTTTTCAGCTTTTTTGACGGTGTAATCACATTTTTGACACATGCTGGGAAGTCAGTTATTACACTTTACCTAGGATAACTTTGAAAAAAAGGTATCGTAATAAAATGGAAATTTCATATCCGATATCAGCTGCTTTCATTACCACAGCACAAGAGATTTTGGCTTGTTTGGCTCTGTTTCGAAGCAGAAAATGGCCTTCAATGGCTTAAAATCCTTGCTAAATTTTCTACCTAATTCTACATTAAAGAGGAGAGTTAGATGATTCGCTCCATACTGTGAAATCTAAGTTTATCCTCGCTCTACAAAATGGTACCTAAAGCTCAGCGAAAGACTTGAAAGCAAGGGAGATATTAACGATTAAACAGTGTTAACATTATTTTGGGACACCCTGTATATGCAAGTTTTTGATTTCGCTCTTTTTGCACTGCAGCTGTATGGTATCTATTTTGGTGACTAGTAAATAGCGTGTCACAGTCAATGGCATCATACTTTTTGCATCAGCTTACGCTTGAGTTGACAAGGTATGTAGCTATCATCCTGCCTCCGTTAAATCGCTCTTTGATTGAGTTTATAGCATCCACAACCCTTGGTTTTACTCAATTCGCAATGAAAATAGGCGAGTCACACCTGTTGCAAAATACGGCAACAGAGGACGATTAGACTAAGTTTATCAAAGACTAGATTCATTCGAATTGTTCGAATAGTCGAATATTCGGTCAAATCCAATTATTCGATTATTCGAATAGTCGAATATTCGGTCATGTCAAAATATTCAATTATTCGAATAGTCGAATTCTTGAAAAGTACCAAAAATTCGTTATTCGGGTTCGAATAATTCAAAATTTCACAATTCGATATTCATTCGCTTGAATAATTTTTGAAATTGAATTGTTAGAAATTCGTTCATTCGAATAAAATTTTCGTTCGTTCTAACTATAGCGTCTGGCAACCGGTAAGCAGATGCTAAGCTAGTGCGCATTTTTTCAATACTCCAAAGCGATATTCTCGCTTCTGCTATCCTGTTGTTTGAGCCACAGCACAACTGAGGAGTCTAATTTGACATAAAGCTAAAATTCCACGGTTTTTCTTTGCCTTTTTCCTAGTCAGAGGAAATGTGAATGCAATACTGAAGATACTCAGCAGCGAAAAAGCGAAAGTTGTTACAAATAGGAGATATATGTTTGATTGCTTCAAAATGGAGATACAGTAACAGCGTTACTAAAACAACGTTGCTATGATCTCGTACGGCTTTCAGCTAAGCCTATCTTAAAACCATTACACAGTTAATTTAGAACAAGAAGATCATAAAAGGCGTAGAAACATTTGTAGCACCTAGGCACATGCGGTGGCTTAACCTGGGGCGGTATATATCAGTCTCCCGCTCGCTGTTCGGGCGTTCCATAGTTATAACGGCCCAGACAGGCGAAAGAGTCCAAACCGTGATTTTTGTGAGGTTGATTGGTGTGGCCTGAAAAATCGGGCCTGCCGTCCCCGACATGGCCAAACTTGCCAGATCCGCACCCTTGAATCCACGCAATGCCCTATTAGGGGTGTCTCATAATTACCGTTTTTACTACGACCACAGTTTTTTTTGTGTCTTTTCTTCAAATGGTGCGGCTTAGGTAACATTCACAGAGCAAAGCAAGCTTTAATGGCTATCAAGAGTCTGCCTAGCCGTAGTTTACATGAATTTTTGGGTTTAGTAGGGACCCTACGGTCGCTAGCAGTGGGTCGGGGCAGATACAATATTAGGCTTATTAATAGTGACTAATATCTCTACATAATTTTCTGCTCATTTTCTGAATTTTCGCAAAAAGCATTAAAAAGGAGAACGCTTCGGGAACGATAAATTTTTCCACTTGCCATGCATGCATTTCAGCAATAGGACCGGTCGCAGGCAAGTGGGAAGCAAAGTAGCGACTAGGTGACCCTAACCCTACGGGTCGCAAGCAAGTTGTGCTTTCATTTTAGAGCTCCCAGGTGACCCTACTCAGATAATCGCCGAGGGCAGGCGGTCCGCAAAATCGCGCTTTTCTGCAGGTGGTCAGCAGAATTTTGGGGCGTGGCCAAACCTTTAGCGGGCGGCACTTTCTTTACGGTCACATATTCTGCCAGCGGGCAACAGTACAGCATTTTCTGCAAGCGCTCGGCAAATAACTTCTTTCAGTGGCGCTGGCTAAACTTTCGGCAACCGCTAGGACTCTTTTAACGCAGTTACGGGCGTACGTCGAGCACAGGTAAGACTCTGTGTGGCAGAGGTATCACCGTTGGGTTCATTACTCAAGTTTGAGGTACTTTCTCTCAGCGGAAAGTACCTACGGGCTGTGCGGTCCTTCACAAGGGACCGTGCGGCCCTCAAGTTTTTTGCATATTCTCGCGGAAAGTCCGCGAAAATGCGGCCACTGCGCCGCAACTAATCTATAAAAAAACCACGATATTTCTCCAAGCATTCCTCTAAGAATTGGCCAACATTCTTTCAAATTCCTGCAAGCGGACCGCATGAAATCAGCGAACTATTTTTCCGGTGCTTGCTTGCTCAAAATTGCTGCTCAAGTGAAAAAAATTGCTGCTCAAAATTGCTGCTCAAAGCCGCCTGCCTCTGGCGATTATCTGACAAGTCGTGACATTGTGAGTAGGAGTCGCTAACAAATGGGGCCACATAATTTGTAGTGCCTAAGTGACTCTACGTGTCGCTAGCAAGTGTGGGTGGCGTAAATAATTTGAGCCTAGATCAAAAACAGATACGTCATAGCGTCAATTTTTGCATACATTGGTCTTCCATTTTGGTCAAGGGCTCGCACCATCAAAGAAATGAGCACATCAAATTTTTGGGAGATTACATATAAAGATTGTTGCATACAAGCAATTGAGGCAACGATCTAAGAATAACTTCAAGCAAAGCCATTCTTTTCCTCACACTCCAGTTGAAGCTTTCTCAAAGTTTCTCTCGAAGATTTCTGCAGAGAAGTTTTCTTTAAACTTGGTTTTCCCCCATTTTTATGTAAGTTTTTTCAAAAGTAGTAGTTGCCTTTGAACTACTACGAGAGTAACTTGCAAAATTTTATTACAAGTCGTGCACTTTGCCGCGTTCAGACCAAAGGGGTAGAGATGATGTTCAATCGAGTCTCGAGAGTAGTTAGATAGAATTTCTTGCAACAAAAGCATTTGTTTTAGAGTTACACCAAATCTTTGACAATTCCATAAAGTCCATCTTAAAGTCTTTTACAAACGTTCTTTGAATCAGTTTTCCTACCTAGCAGAAATCTCTGCCAGGTAGGACACCTAAATGCAAAACTCTTGGTGAGATTATTTCATCTCCTTTCCTGAAATCTTGCCACCACTTCTGGCTTTGGGTAACAAATTCATCTTTTTCAGAAACATTTTGTAACCCTCCAAGTCCAATTTTCTAGAATATTGGTATAAGATTTTTATAAATAACGAACCTTCGCAAAAATCAATAGCCAGCAGGTATGGCAATCTTTCGGCAATTGACATTTTTGTAGCTTCATGACCTGTCTTTCAGAACTTTTAAGATTGAATTTCTGAATTGCATAGAAAAGACCCATTTTAGTGTTTTGCAAAATTCATTAGGTCGGTGCAAAAGTTTTGTCAGATTCAATTCACCAGCAAATATGGTAGAATAAAGATAAACGAACATTGCAACTTGTATCCTGCGCAGGATTTCTTCCTTATTCAAGCTGCTGTATCTCAAAGTGATTCATTGCGAGAGTGCTAATGAGACTTCAGGAGACGTTTCAATAGCTAGCAGGTAGGGCAACCTTACGGCAATTGAAATTTTTGTAGCCCCATGGATTGTCTTCCAGAACTTCTGAGATCAAATTTCTGAAGTAACAAAATTTTAAACGCGGCATGTTTGACCTTTCAAAACAAGAATGGTGAACAGTTTAAGTAACAGTCGATATAACGTTTCTTCTCTTTCTAACAGTTGTCTTTTCACGGCGAGACACGCGAAATTTGCAGGGAAAATGGCAGTATTTCGGTATTTCACAAGTGCCCACTGACGTATCCTAAGTTTCAAAATCTTTGTAATTTAAAGCGGAAGTCATTATTTACTTGGTGAAGTTAGAATAGCAGTGATTTTGTGTTGATCAGTATTCTGGAAATTCTGCACTGTTCATTGCATTAACAAGCTATGCGGTTTTCAAACTCGAGACTTTTGGAAAGTTATTCAGCAAAATTCTAAAATAGTAGCTAAAAAGAGGGAAAATTACTTCAGCTGGCTACCTGCCTTCATGCCCTTCCTGCTGGCTATTGAATTTCCAAAAGCTTAGATGAGATTTTGATAATTAGCAGTGGACCTGTTGAAAACGAAGGGTTGTAAATTTCAGTGATAATTTACAAACCTCTCGCAACAAATCACACTGACGACATAGCAGCTGGAAGGAGGAAGAAATTCTGCATTGGATACATGTTAATGCAATGAACAGTGCAGAATTTCCAGAATACTGATCAACACATCATTTCGAAGCTTTGTTTGTCTTTGTGAACAGTCCCAATTGTAAATTACAAGCACCGAGCACGCCAATCGCCATCTTGGCGAAATGCCAAGTTTCTGTCCCATTGCGTGAAAATATCGACCGCAGCTCAAAATATAGCAGACAGAGACGGGACACAAGGTCTTGCAACGAGCGCTCCTCGCTCACCGGCTTATTCGCACCCGCCGTAGTCTGATACGCTCATTGATGAGTACGTTAGTTTAATGCTAATCGAACACGCTTCCCGTGGGGCCCAACTGCCTCCGCGCTCTCCTTACTCACTCGCCTAAGGCCCCGGACAGACTTCACGCGATTTGATCGTCGCGACTGAATCGCGAAGAGACAACTGTCACAACATCATTCTATGCCGATCAACTTGCATTTCGGTTGTGATACTTTTCCAGCCCGAGATTTTTGAATGTGAAATGAAAATGAATGGAAATGTCGGCGATTGAGTCGAGACGATCAAATCGCGTGAAGTCTGTCCAGGGCCTAAGAGGTGTGTTCAAAATGAAAAACAGATCAAATGAAAGGAGAAATGCACTGTTACCTTTTGCAAAATACATACTGATTTCTGATAGAAGTCAAAACGAACATTAGCGTCAAAAATCGTATCCGTTCCAAAACCATCTGATTTTTCCTATTCAGTCTAGCATATGCTTAAACGTCGGACACTCATACGCACAAGTTCCGTATTTTTTATGGCCGAAAATGGAGAAAAAATTGATTGGAGAATAGCATACTTCGCCTCTGGATGTCCCAAATTCCTGCCATACATGTAAATATGTAGCTCATCCATTCAGAAAAACAACCATGTGTTTGTGCCCTTTGTAGTACTCTCGTTCCCGAGAAGTGCTGGTTTTCAGGGTGAAAACGAAAAAAATTATGAGATAGCTTAATAGGTGAGATTCAGACAATATGATTGTGACGGAAATTTCTGATAATCAACGTGGTTCACTCTAGCCTTCCCTTTTATACCATTCAATGCGTACTGTTCTCATTGAGCCAAAAATAAGACTTTTTAACACATTTCTGCATTTCTACCTTATCCTACTACTATGAATTCCCTACATACAGAACATTTAACGAATTGCTGATATTCAGCGAAAAAGCCGTTTCCAGCACTCTATGAGAAAAAAAACCTTAATCCGTCTATCTTACTTTACAGTTGTTGACGTGATTCACTCATTGTGCATATAAATGAAAAATTACGCCCAAGGACCGAAAGAAAACAACGTAATACTATGGTTTTTCATGTGTTTGCGATGTGCAAAGTTTACGCAGGCAGAATTGTTTGATGTGCGCCCACTCGAGCTGCTGGCGTGCTGTTCTGTATACTTGGGTCCAGATCGAATAGAAATTCGATCATTCGAACAAAACATTCGAATATATTCGTATTCAAAATTCGATATTCGGAGTTCTTCCATTTTCGATTAATATTCGAAACTCGAATAATCAAAAAACAGGGTTTCGAATAAAATTCGAAAACTCGAATATTCAAAAAACGAGATTTCGAAAATTATTCGAAAACTCGAATAATCAAAAAACGGGGTTTCGAATAGATTTTATTCGAATGTTTTATTCGAATGTTTATTCGAATTCGTATTCGAATGACTTCGTATTCAAATTATTCGACTTTGTTGCAAAGCCAACTGCTGAGTTTCAAGCTCACTCGTTCGCGTTTTTTTTCCGCAAAACTCGGTAATGCATCTTTTGCAACCGTTATACCTTTGAACTGTATGGAGAGTCGCATTCTTCCGACTGCTTGCGACAGTAAAAAAATCATACGTGGATTTTAATTGATGTAGAAAGTAGAGCAGCCTTTTGCTTTTACATGTTGATGCTGATAAGAAATAAAGTTAATTCTGGTGTACATCAGTTTCTTTCAGACCATCTGAAGAAGAATTTTTTGGGTACATCATAAAAATTTATATCGACTACTCTTTAGATGGTCCATAATGGGTAAAATATGACTTTTTGCTGATGTATAGACTAGATGCCGACCGACCGACTTTATCGATTTTTGGGGAAGTTGGAGCTGCGGGGCTGAGAGTTGGTACAAGGGGGTAAGTGATGGTGCTGATTATGGATAAAAATTTACTTTATAAATTTTATCGATTTTTGAAAAATCTCGAGCTACGAGCTTGGGAGTTGGTACAGGGGGTAATTGAGGATGCTGATTAAAACCGAAATTTATTTCATCGATTTCAGCAATTTTTGGAAAATTTTGAGCTAGGAGTTGGTATAGGGGATATTAGGGGGCTGATCATGATTGGATCGGCTCTAGCCAGATATGTCGGCAAGTTTGAGATGTGATTGCTTTAGTTATTCGATAAATCATTCGAAAATTTATTCGAAATTCGACTTCTAATGTTCGAATATATTCGATATTCATTCATTCGATATTTTTGATTTTCCGAATTTATTCGAAATTCATTCATTCGATATTTTTGATTTCAGAATTTATTCGAAATTCATTCATTCGATATTTTTGATTTTCCGAATTTATTCGAAATTCATTCATTCGATATTTTTGATTTTCCGAATGTATTCGATACTCGTTTATTCGAAATTTTTCCTTTTCGAATTTATTCGATATTCATTCATTCGATGTAAAATTCTGGAATTGCTCAAGTATACACATTGTTTGTAGCTTCTCCTTCTGAGGTGAGTCATGGCTTGCAACTATGCACAGTTGCCATAATTTTTCACAGCCAAGCAACGCGAGGAAAACTATAAAAGCTTTGTCATTTCCGATGATTTTGATTGACAGAAGGGTAAATCAGTATTTTAATTTAGTAAGATTGTCGATTAAATTTAGGGAAAGCTTACTTACTTTCTTTATAAGAATTTATATTATACAGCAGCAAAATGTCACCTGATAAATTGCTGGAAATGACGAATTCCTGAATACCCATCGCGGATCGAAAGTCAGCACAGCGCAATCCGGATCCTCTTTGATAGTATTTCTCAAAACATTGCTTCTCAAGTGCATACCCGAGTTTAACGTACTCAAACTCAAACGGGTAGACTCACTGGACAAACTCGCTGAGGGTCATCTTTTCCGTGGGAATAACTCTTTCATCCAGGTCTCCGAACAATACATAATGCGACAAAAGCTTGTTTCTGTACAAGCAGTCCTGTTACACCAAAAGAAGGGTGAGCAAACGTTTACTATGAGCTCTCACATACTTCTATAGCAGCCATTTGCCATTTTCCTCTTATGATTCTGTCATTCATATTGTTGACGTGTGCATCTCGCAGCCATTTTCCAAATAGAGTCTCATCATTGTTTAGGTACTTAACATCCACATCTCCACTCTTCACATAGCTTTCAAGAAGCTGAAACAAATTTACTACGTAGCTTCATGCTTGCTTTGATCACTAGGTGCAAACCAAACAGCTGCCATACAAGTTTTTCTCTGCGCTTTGTTTCCCTGCTTTCAACCAAAATCCACTAAGGAAGGTATTTGGCGCAGTGGACTTTCTTATTGAGATGCATATCATTCAAAAGGTCCCTAAATGCTGATTTCAAAACAATTTTCCCTATCTGATGATTGGTTTACTAAACTTTGCATGGTCAGAAACCGTCTAAATACCATAAACGCGTGAAAATGCGAAATTGCTTTAGAGTTGCCTGCCTGGTCTAAAATCAATTTTTGCACATAAATTATCAATGGTAATAATTGAAGCTACTCTGCTACCATAATTCTGCAACAAGCAACCAAGTTCAGTTTTTTAAACCAAACAAATGCCTGCAAATTTATTAGGTGAATAGATAAGCAGATAAGGGAATCACATGCGTAATCAGCATTGCAAGGCGTTCACTATGGTGTACATTATGCTGGGTTAGGCTACTTCGAGTCGAATTCTTTTTCTGTTATCAAGAATAATTTTTTGAACCGAGAAACAGCGATAATACTGTCCAACTTCTCACTTTTTACTTTTCCTTCCTTTCGTAATTCTTAAAAAAGAGAAGAGGAGGAAGATTAGGAACGTAGTGGTTAACTTTGACGAGGAACACTTTTGTCATAGACTATTGACGATACAAGAGAGTTGACTGCGTTTACAAGGATTGCATTAGATTTTCCGTAAATGGTGTTACTAATGCATGTTAATAGAACATTCCTTAAATCTTATATATAAAGCTTGATGTGTGTTTGTCTGTATGTATGTATGTGTGTCTGTACGTATGTGCGGAATAGAAAGTTTCATTTCTGAACCGATTTGGACCAAACTTGGCACACATACACTTCGGGCGGGAAGCGTGTCATAGGCTACTTTTCGTCATCGATCGATATCGATTTTATCAACTTTTATCGATTTTTTGTGTAGTTTGAGCTACGGGGCTGGGAGTTGGCACAGAGGGGTAATCGAGCATGCTGATTCCGAATACAATATTATTTTTCAAAATCATCGATTACTTTTATCGATTTTATTGATTTTTTGCAAAGTTTGAGCTACAGGGCTGGGAGTTGGCGCAGGAGGGTAAGTGCGCATGCTGATTTCGAAAACAACACAGGGAAAGGGAAATGAGATGTAGTAGTGGGCACAGAGAAAGACTTTACAGGGGTAGGGATGGAACCTTTACAGTGTTATGACAGGGCCGAGCGGAGACGGATAAGCAAGCTAGTTTCTGATAAAAGGATTCAAAGTAGCCAATTATCGCATATGATAGCCTTTGTGTGAACTCATAATGCTGAATACAAATTGGGTAAGTCGGAAACCTGTCGAAGCATACATATTGAACCCAAAGCGAATTTAGAGCGAGCTTTAATACATCCGTACCTTTGAAGCCCTATCAATGGGCTGCTCAAAGAAATGTGAAAAACGATGATATGGTAGGAAGTTTCGCGAAAGCTAATACCCATGTGAGGAAACATGGAGTAAGTCATCACAGAAGAAGAGCAAAAATGCAGCTGACGAGGGAAGTGGTCACAATTTGATGTAGTCAATCCAAACGAGCTGCAAACCATAAAATACAACATAGAACACTATTCTATATCTGTCCCCCTTATCTGCTACACGCTTTTGTGAGCGAAGCTGTAAGCCAATCGAAGTCTTTTAATCACGAGATACTGCTAAGCCCGTTGGGTGTAGAGATCTACGTTTGACTTATTACTGAGCCAATATCAGCTAGGGTACTCAATGCAACCATACGTAAAAGTGAGCTATAAGAGCAATAATGCATTTGACGTCGCAATTTTTATGTACGTTTTTCTCGCTATAAGATTGCTCATAACTTCATCTACAAAAGCGTTCGACAGATATGGAAGACAGATTTGAAGTCGGTGTTTTATGCCGCATCCAGTGACAGCAGCTTGTTTGGAATGGCTTTTAGACATCTGATCATGCCTTTGTGAACTCCGCGTTCATTATTCTAATGTTTATTCATGTCGTGAAACTCAGAGTTTAACTGCGTGTTTGATCAGAGAAAGAATAGTGTGCAGAAGAAGTGCAGAAGAAGAGGGAGAGCTAAAAAGTTTTTTTACAGCACTCTTTGTTTGCAATGCGAATATGATGTATCGTAGTGCACTGCTCAACACAAAACTTAAAATTTTGTATTGTGGCCCAGAAGCTTATTCAGGCAGGTGATCATAAATATGGTAACCATTTCTAAAAGACTTGATGATGTAGTCTCTATTATACAGGGTGTCGCAAAAAATGTGCACACTGTTTGTTCGTCAATAAATTCTTTGCTTTAACGTCTTTTGCCGAACTTTAGATAATATCCTGTGGAGCGAGGATAGACTCAGATTTACAGTATGGAGAGAACTGTCGTTCGCTTTTCATTATCGTAGGAGTACGGTAGGAACTTCGACAAGGATTTTAGGCCATTGGAGCCCATATTCTGTCTCCGAACAAAACCAAAAAAGCCAAAAACTCATACTAAGGTAATGGAAGCAGCTGATTTCGAATTTGAAGTTTCCACACCGTGATGCTTCTTTTCTTTTCTAAGTCATTCCATGAAAACCGTATTGACTAAATTTCCAGCATTTGTCAGAAACGTGTTAACACCGTCGAAAAGGTTGAAAAGGTTCGTAAAAAGTTGTGCGGTGTAATCAGCATGCGCGAAAACCCTAGTACACAATTTTTCAGAGTTTTTGGAAAAAATTTGTTGGATGGCATATTTCACAAGGTTCCATATGCTGGAATTACCGTAGTCCTTCAGTAACGAAGAGCTATCGATGATACGCTCCATATTGTGAATCCAAGTTTAATCTGCTTCAGAATGATACTTAAAGATCGGGGAGAGATATCGAAGAAGCAAATTATTAACGATCAAACAGTGTGCACATTTTTTGGAACACCCTATATATTCAGTTAGGGAACTTACTGCGGTTACTTTTGCAAGTCTGGGTTCCTGCACATACATACAGATTTCAGCAGCTTATCTTAAAGTTGATGCGTCAGAAATGCTACTTGAAGAATGCACTCTTTGCGAATTCGTTGAAATAATCTGGTTAAAACGAATAGATTCAGAGACTTGAGGTTTTGTAGAGCATATTCCGAGGAACACAGTGCCGTAACAGCAAGAAATTCTCCTCTCCAAAACATACGGTACTGTAAGCATGGAGTTAACTGAACGCGCAGCAGTGCCTTTCAAAAGAAATAAACTCAGTCCCATTTGCGTCAGAAGACTTGTTTGTGTACTCTTTACTTATTTTGATATAGAAACTGTCCATAAGCTACAGGCATACTAGCCGCCAAGTTAGAGTTTACAGGAAAAAGATATATAACATAAATAATAAGTAATAATGTTCATAATTATAATAATAATTTGAGGACTCCGTTTCGTTCCTATCCTTAGACGGAGTATTGCGTTGTTTCTATGCCATCCCCGGAACTCTTCAGTAAGGAAGGATGGCCATAATTAAAATAACTCATCTTTCATATAAATTTGAAGCTTATATTAGAGTTTATATTTCAAACACTTAGTTCGAATCATTTGATTAATAATTTTTTGTTCTAACTAGGTTAAGTCCAAATGCGTTGTAAAGATGATAATTTTATTGATTCTTATTGATTATTTTAATTATTTATCGACTTATCTGGGTCTTTTTCATTGACAGATTATAGTTTCCCACTCTCCTTGTTTATCTTCGTCCACTGCGGTTGGTTGTTTCACGTTGAACTTCTTTCTGGATCCGCTAGTCTTGTAGGAGATCTTCGTCGTGATTTCGTTTCATAAATGAATCTTCCCCAACTTGTCTAACTTGTTATTGCATGAATTGTTCATAATCATTATCGAATGGGTTTTAATTTATTTCGACTGCTCACAATGAACGGTGAGGGGTGAGTGCGATATTGATATTTCAATACATCGTCGGGAATAAAATTCTTCCCCTCTCCAACTTTCTGAACCCATGTTGAACGTTTCTCACTTGGTGGAGTCACACCTCATGGAGTACGTAAGATTGTGTATAATTCTCAGTTCTTGACTTCGAATCTTTATTGATTATGATCAGTTTTGATTCTTTCAATCGATATCAATCGTTTTCAAAAAACATAGTTAAACCACCAAAGTGAAGGTCTCTATCACTTTAAGCGTCATTTATGAAGTATCCTTTAATACTTTCTTCTTCGTGACTAAACTGTTAGTCCATTCAATTCTTTATCAAAGGGCATGACGTCAAACTTGCATAGAAAAATCGTCGCTTTTCGCTTTCATAATAGGTAGTTGAGTGTTATTGGGTATATTTTTTATAAGTGTTGACGGAATCCCACTTTTGTTCGATGCTTTATACAACATTAGAAACATTCCCCGTTTTGTTGTAAGTCTTTTTAATTCCCCATATAAGTTTCATGGATGTCTTGTAAGGGGATATCGGGTAATAGGGATCTTAAGGGTGTCTTGAGCGGTTCAAGTTCTTCATGTGTCCGTGTATACACTCTGTGTCCGGTACCTGGTTCTGAGTGGGGATTCCACAATAAGGTTGGCTCATTCGCATTGCGAATGAGCCATTGTCTTTTGTGAGGATTCGTTTTTATGTTAGTTTAGTTTGGTATGTATAAATGTAAATTATAATATTAACTAATTAATACTGAATGCTTTTTGATTTTATATTATTGTATGTAAAATTAGGAGCAATCATTTTTAAACATCGAAAATTTTTTTGAGATGAGAATAATTATCAATGTTGTATTTGTATAGTATAGATGTATTTTTATTTATACATTTATATATACTAGCTAGAATTATATTTTTATTATAGCCGTTGTTTAAAAGAGTGTTAATCATTAGTAGTACTTTATCGGTGAAATCTGTCAAAAAACTACATGTACGTGATATTCTAAGTGTTTCGGAGTATATCAAAGCTTTTTTAATATTGATGGAAACACTGGAATCAAAATTAATAAATTTCTTTACTTCAAAGTTGAAACTGTCTGTTTTATTGTATAATAAAGTTACTATTCTATCATTTACTATTTTTATATGTAAGTCTAGGTAATTGCAAGTGTTTTTATTTAAATGTGTAGATTCTAATTCGAGTTTGTTATTATAA